GAGAGAAAGAAAGAGAGAGAGAGAGAGAGAGAGAGAGAGAGAGAGAGAGAGAGAGAGAGACTACCTGAAATATAACTAAAGCAAAAAGGGCTGGGAGCATGACTCAAGTAGTAAGAGTGCCTACCTAGCAATCATGACACCCTGAATACCACCAAAACAAATAAATAAGAACCCACCATAGGACTTGGAGTTTTATTCAGAACCATGGAAAGAGTTTTGAGCAAAAGAATGACAAGATCCACCATTCATCCTCAAAAGATTATCCTGAAAAGTAAAAGTTTGTTGAATGAATGCATGAAATCCCCAAGATGGGCCCCTAAACCATAGAAATGGACTTATGACCCTTTCCTCAGTTAAGAAACATTTAATTGGATAAGAGAGGGGGGGAGGTCCAAGGACCCAGGACTGAAGCTGCCCTGGTCTCAGGCAGCCTGCCCAGGTGAGGAGGAACACTTTCTCTTGCTTAGGTTGTTGAGGATCGGGTCCTGGTTGGACCGGTAGAGAACCACGAAGCTTTCTTGAGAAAGGACAGGACCCAAGTTCTCTTCCATTTTACCCATCAGCAGATAACTGTTTCCTGGGGAAGGGAGAGAGGGAGGGTTGACATCACTGAGACCTGGTCAAGGCATCCTCTCACTCAGATTCTACCCCTGGGTCATTTTAGTGTGGCTCGATGCCTTTCCCAATTTCCTGTCCCTGTTACCTTTTTTCATGATGGGACACTGCCTACAAGGCAAGTAAAACTTCAGGGAGGTGTCAGTGGGTGGAGAAGGCAGGTCCAGTCCTTCAGTTTTATAAGCACCAATGAGACTGACAGTGACGGTGAGACCCTCGCCTGGGCCCCGAACCATGGACTTAACTGTCCCAGTAACCACTGTGAGAGGATGGAAGGGCAAGAGATGAGAAGACAGGAGGCCAGGGCAGGACTGGAATGGGGATAGGGTGGGGTTAAAAGAACTGGAAAGGGCAGGGCAAGGGCTTGGGGCTTCTTACCTACATCACTGGCACAGAAGTTGCTCTGCATGGTGCCTGACCGCCGGCACTGCTTTGGGCAGGGGACACTGGGTGCAACTAAGAAGGGAAGGGGGACTGTTCATGGAGGGTGACCTACCCAGCAGGTAGGAAAGACCACCTTCTCCACTCCCTTTTTTTTGTAGTGCTGGGGAGGAGACCAAGAGCCTTGTGCATGCTAGGGAAGAGCTCTAAACTAGCTGGGTGCTGGTGGTTCATGCCTATAATCCTAGCTACTCAGGAGCAGAGATCAGAGGATCAAGGTTCAAAGTCAGCCTGGGCAAATAGTTCTCAAGACCTTATCTGGAAAAGACCCATCACAAAAAAAGGGCTGGTGGAGTGGTTCAAGATGTAGGCCCTGAGTTCAAACTCTAGGACTGGAAAA